TTCCTAACATAAAAAGTTTTTATCTTAATGTTAAACTAACATGTTATCATCACATGAAAGAATAATAATAATGTTATCAAAACCCATCAATGTTTTTTAATATTATTTTTATTATTTATGTTACTAATCACATAAATTTTAACAATGATTTTTTAAAATAAATTCGATAATAAAGCTAACATAATTTATCTATAAATCGAGATTAATTTTTTTTTTTCCCCCGCGTGTTGAATATTAAACATATTTTAATAGTAAATTAAATATTCAATTTATTAAAATAAAAGTAATGGCATTTTACTAATTTTCATATAACAAAAACTTTATTTATGTTAATTGAATTGAATATTATTTGTAAAAAAGGCACCTCGAAACAAACGAAAAAAAAAAAAAAAAAAAAACATATAAAAGTATTATCCTGAATATGTAAGATCTTTATTATAAGTACATCCATTATTTTGTATAACTATACTTGCGGCCCAATTTCCACATTGAATACATTTTTCAATGTCCTTTCCTATTAAAAACTGACTTATAAATCCACCAGTAAATGCATCTCCAGCTCCATTGGTATCTGTAATAATTTCATCAGGTACAGGTGGAACTGCAACTTCTTTCACCTCATTATCTAATTAATAATAATAAAAAAAAAAAAATAATTTTTGTCGTTTGTTGTTTGTTTGTTTGTTTGTTAATTTATATTTTATTTTGTTTGTTTTTTTTTTTTTTTTTTTTTTTTTTTACCTTTTACATACAATACGGGCAAGGGTCCATTTGTTATGACGACAATTCTTTTTCTTTTTTGGTTACTCTTTGGTAAATTAGATATTTCTATGGCTATCTCCTTCATAGAATTTGTGTTAAATTTTCCTTTGGCTATTGCTTGGGCTTCTGTTACATTACCAAACACTATGTCGGCATAAAATAATGATTTTATCAATGTTTCCTTATATTTAGTACAGATAAAAGGTGCACTTAAATTCATACAAAAAACTTTATTTTGAGTCGAAGCCACTTCTCCTATTTTATAAATAGTTTCCGGACTCACTGTTATAAAAAAACCCTATAAAAAAAAAAACAAATTAAATTAATTAATCACCACTTTTGACTACTAAATAGTAATAATAATAATAATAATAATAAGAAAATTAATATTTTCTTTACTTACACTTATGTAGTACATTTCAACTTTTTCTACAATTTTAAAGTTTTCCGGTTTTAATATGTGCTGAATTGTAAACTTTTCCGCAGCAGCCAGATTAGCACACAATGACCTTTTATTGCCTTCATGAGTTGTAATTATTGCTGCACATGTGCCTTAAAATAGTAGGAATAATAAGTTCACATTTATACAAAATCTCAAAGTACACATGTTGATATTTCATTAGCTTTTGTATAATCTACAAATGAAAATTATGAAACAACACAAAAAGGTTAATAAATATTTTTATTATAGAAAAAAAAAAAAAAATGTCTTTTTTTTTTTTCTAGAGTATTAAAAATTTTAATAATAAACCTAATAGTTAAATAATAATAATAATAATTAGAAAGTTTTTTTTTTTTATAAACTTTATCATTACATCGATTGATGATGATGATGATGATGATATTTAAATTTGTTTAATTCTAACATGAGAGAAATTATTAAAAAAATGAAGAGTATTTTAATTAAGTTTTATTACACTTCAAGGATGCATTAGTACACAAGTACTTTTGATAAAAATATTTGTTTGATTAAAAATTTTTAAATGCTCACCGGTTGGAATTTTTTTCTGATATTGATATATAACTTTTACACCATCGTTTTCTGCTGTTTCTTTCAACATTTCGCTGTATTTATCTGTACCTACTGAGCCCATAAATACACAAGTATGAGGTGTCTTTAAAATCCATTGACAAACTCTAAGACTGTTTTGAACAGAACCTCCAGCAGATAATTGGACATTATAATTTTTCATTAAGTGTTTATACATTGACTTTTGAAACATATTGGCAAGAACAGCATTATTCGCTTCTAACTTATATTTTTTAAGAAGTTCAGCATCACCATTAACGGTTAAATCCAATAATGGATTTCCTACTCCTAAAATTCTGTATCCCCTAAAAACAAAAAAAAAAAAAAAAAAAAAAAAAAAAAAAAAAAACCACAAATTAATTACAATATTAATTTATTATAATTAAAAAATATTATTGATTAAAAAAAAAAAAAAAAAAAAAAACTTACCCCAAACCTAAAATAGTAAATCTTATTTTTTTCAAAAATAAAAATGAATAAGGTCGTCGTAAAAAATGCCCAATCTTTAAATAAATAATTTTAAAACTGATAACCCAGGCAACCCAGGTATATATTTGATCAAATAATATTACAATGGCTCAATAATAATGTGCCTAAAATTTTCTCGTTATATTCAAGTTCACCATGGAATTATTAACAATAAAAAAAAAAAAATTTAATTACGAGAACGAAAAAAAAAAATCTATTTTTAACCGAGTCGAACAACGGCATATGTTTCTAAATATTCATATAACACGTGCGTGTGTTCTATTCAACCGTTAAAATTTTTACTTTAAATTTTCACATGCCGGTTAAATTAATTGATAATTCGATGGTTAAATTATATTTTTATAAAAAATATTCACGATGAATAATTTTTTATTATATTTCATACGAATGTAAACAAATTTGATTTTTTTTTTTTTTTTTTTTTCTACAAGAGCAAAAAATAATTTATATGTACTTTTATTAATTTTGTAATCAAAACTAATTTGTTTTGTTTTTCTTTATTATTCATATCAAATTTATACCAATTAAATTTTTAAAAAATTTATACGTGTGGTTAATCTTGATAAAACATTCCAATCAATCATAATTAACTTTCAATGTTTATTTTTAAAAAAAAATTTTTTTTGATAAATTTCAAATTATTGTTTTGCCAATAACAAAAAAATTAAAACCTTATCAAACTTTTTTAAAAAAAAAAAAAAAAAATACCCCCCCAAAAATTTACTTGAAAAAAATTAATAAAAATAAATAAATAAATTATTAAAAGTTTTTTTTTTTTTTTTTTTTAAATTTCAAATAAAATTTATTTGTGTATTTTTTTTTTTCCCCCTTTAAATTATATACAATTCAAATATTTATAATTTTTTTTTTTTTTTTTTTTATCACCTCTATGGTTTCAATGTTTTGTTACACTAAGTAAAAAAAAAAATTATTTTTTTAAATGTCACTTTTTCTAAAAAATTATTTATTTTATTATTTTATTTAACTGGTTATCAAATAGAAAATTAATAACAAATGTTGAATTTTATAACTAGAATTTATCTTGTGATAAAAAATATCTAAATAGGCAATTTTTATAATAATATTTTAGATATTGATAAACTGTCAACAATTTTTAAGTATGGCCTGGTATATTTGGGATAAGGAAAAAACTTGTGGAAAATTTCCATTAAAAGTTAATCAAGCTTGTTTTGAAGTTAATTCAAATTCAAACGTTCCATTAAATTTATTCACAAGAAATAATGAATGCTACGAGGTAACCCTAAATCACTTTTGTTTTTTCATAATATTGATGATAAATTTTAAAAATTATTATTATTTTCAGTGTGATTTTTTACCATTGGGTCGACAAATCAAATCCAATGTTACTACCAGGTTTATCATCGATACAGAATTTGGTTTTGAATCATATTTTTCAAATGGCAATAATAGTTTTTGTACAGTGAAAAATCACTTTGAAGATTTCGGTATTTACTCGATAAATGTAACTGAAAAAAATTGTAGTGAAATTGTCGTGCTAAAAGATCCTGAAAGATTTTGGTTTAATATTTTATTTCTGATATGCATTTTCTTTGTCGCTGCATCAATATATTATGTTATAAAATCAATATACAAGAAAAGCATGCAATATTTTTATTCGTCATGTTTAACACTTAGGGAATTAGAAAGGGTAAAAAATTGAATTAATTTTTTTTTTTTTTTTATATTAAAATTTTTTGCTTGTATGTTTAGTAATTTAATTTATTAATTATTTTAGGATGTAGGTAATATTGATCATAGAAATGACAGATATAGTAGAATAAAGAATTCAAGGATTAAATCTTTAGATGCATTTAGAGGTTTAGCCATACTTATAATGATATTTGTTAATTATAATGGAGGTGATTATTCCGTTTTTAAACATTCACCTTGGAATGGTATAACAATTGCTGATTTTGTTTTTCCTTGGTAAGTAAATCATATTTTTTTCCTTTTTTTTTTTAAATTAAATTAAATCTCTAAATGTTTTATATTAAATTTTAGGTTTATTTGGATTATGGGTGCTTCTACAGTTTTGTCAATAGATAATAATTTTAGAAGAGCTCAGTCTAAAAAAGAAATATTTTTTCGTATACTCAAGAGAAGTTTTTACCTTATAGCTTTAGGAATTGTTTTAAATTCCGGGCATCGAGATTCAAAAGGATTTTTACGAGTTTGTGGAGTTTTACAAAGAATAGGCTTAACATATTTCATAATTGCTTCATTAGAAATATTTGCATTGAAATCCTTATTAAATGAACATGTGAGTTATTATTTAAAATTTTTTTTTCAAAAAAAAAAAATTTTTGCAATATAATAATGATAAAAATTTTCAGTTTGGGCCTTGGAATTTTAGTCGAAATATCATCAAAATATGGATACAATGGCTGGTTCCAATATTGCTGGTAGCAATACATGTAATCATAACATTTACCCTACATGTACCAGGATGTCCCTTAGGATACACTGGTCCAGGTGGATTATCCAATCATTCTGCTTTTCGAAACTGTACTGGAGGAGCAGCTGGATATATTGATCGTCTTATTATAACTGATAATCATATGTATCATAGAGGATCATTTCTTAAAATTTTCAAACCTTCAGTTCCTTTTGATCCAGAAGGTAAATAAAATATTTCAGAATTTAATTATTATAAACATTGGTTTATTTAATAAGTAACAGTAATAATATTGATATTATCAAACTTGAAATTATTTTAGGTCTTCTTGGTACTTTGACAAGTGTTTTTTGTGCTTTTCTTGGAGTTCAATCGGCTCGAATTTTAATAAATCATGAAAATTCATTTTCAAAGATTAAAAGTTGGATTTTTTGGGCAATAGTTATGGTAAATGTTATAATTAATTAAACACCATATTTACATACAGTTACCTATAACATTTTGACAGTAATATGCTTATTCCCTTATTTCTTTTTAGGGATTAATATCTGGATTTCTCTGTAATTGGAGTCAGAACAGTGGAATTATTCCGATTAACAAAAATCTTTGGTCATTGTCTTATGTATTAGCTACTTCATCAATAGCATTTTTAATTTTAACTACTTTTTACACATTAATAGATTTTTTAAAAGTGTGGAATGGATTTCCATTAATATACCCGGGTGAATTTCTTTCCAAGTTTCTAAAATTAATGTTTGTATTAATGCATATCACAAATGTTTTGAAAATAAATTTTTTTTATATTTTTAGGAATGAATGCTATAGCTTTATATTTAGGACATTCTCTTTTAAAAACTCAATTACCCTGGAGATGGGTACCATTTACAAATACTCATCTCGAACTATTGGTAATGGACACCACAGCAACTTTTGTATGGCTTCTCATTTCTTACGTTTTATATAAAACTAACGTATTCATAAGTCTATAGTTTTAAAAAAATATATTTTTAACTGCATCACGATTAAAAAAAAAATATTTTATTTTTTTTTTATTGAACATGGTATAGGCGAAATAAAATCAATTTTTATCACATGAATTATTAATATAATAATTTTATTGGAGCTCCAAATATATGTTAAAATTAATATTAAAAAAAAGTTATTAAATATTTTATACATGAATATTTTTAATCATTAGGAGGTATTTTTTTTATTATGAATTGTAATTTTTGTTACTTTAATAATAATTGTTTTTTTTTTTTAAATTTATTTTATTATATTAAAAACATTTGTAATATATTATTTTCACATTTCATTTCCTTTATTCTTTTTCTTTACTTTCTCTGAAGTGTTGTAAAATATAATAAGTTATTAATTATATTAAAAGTATTAAAATGAAATAAAACACAGAAATAATAAAATTTATAAATTATTATTATTGGTCAGAAAGATAGGGAAGATAAATGGTACGAGTGACACAGTATTAAAAAGTGCGCGTAATTTTACTATATGATTTTTCTGACATTACAATATCTCATAGATACTACATATAAGATTTAATTTCTTAAAATTTAGTCTTAGAATTTTTTTACTAAATTTGTCAACTATTGTTTTTATAATATTATACAATGAATGGTTTTAATTTGAATTTTAGTTATAAATAAATTTTAAAATGTTGACAAGCCGAAGTTTTAATCTACTTTCCAGGTGTATGATTTGTTTTTATATCAATAATTTTACTTATATTTTTGAACTTGTATTTTTTTTTTTTTTCTCTCTCTCAAAAAGTGAAAACATATATATATATATATATAAAAATTACAAATTAATTTTTAAAATTATTTTTTTAGTTTCTAAAAAACTCGAAGCACAGTTTTCTACAGATAAAGAATGTCTTAATTTAGATAAAGTTTTACTGATAAATAAAGTGTCTAGATTGGATGTGGAAAGATATTATCATCCAGACTTGACTGATAAGGAATTGGAAGAAAATATTAAAAAACGAGGAATCGATTATGAATCTTTAGTAAAACGTCATAAAATAAATGATGAATTTCAAAATAAAGTTTTATCTTGTTTTAATAAATTTGGAATTACAATCAGAAACGTGAACAGGTATCTGGGTTATTTGAATTTTTCTTTTCTCATGAATTTTATACAGAAAATTTTGAAGTTATAATTATTACATTTGCAGTTGTTTGTTTGGTTATTTGTATTGAAGGTTTAATTGCACTCATGATGATATTGAATGGTGTACTTCAGTATTTCCTATCGGTGGAGATGGCACTTTTCTGTATGCTGCTAGACAAATTTCTAATACAGATAAACCAGTTATAGGATTTAATTCAGATCCGTCAAGATCTGAAGGGTATCTGTGCCTTCCGAAAAAATATTCAAATAATATTTTAGATGCATTGAAAAAGTTAATTAATGTAAGTATTTTTCCCTGCTTGTGCTGACACAGTTTTGTTATTTAAAAAAAAAAAATCTGTTTTTAAAAGAATATTAACTATTTATTATTTCAGGGAGATTTTAGGTGGATGTTTCGAACTCGAATTAGGGTTACATTAAATGAACAATATGTATCTTGCGTTCCGACAGAACTATATGATGTTAGACTTCAACAAAATAAAGTACATGATTATTTAGGAAAAGAAAAAGGAGTTCATACATTCAAGCCGAAAAAAATTAAACAAAAAGTACCTGTACTCGCTTTAAACGAAGTAATAAAATTTTTATTATATTAATTAATTATTTTTTAAATGTTTTACATCTGGTATTATTTTTCATATGAAAATTTAAAATTAGTTTATTAAATTATTGTGTGTGTGTGTGTGTTATTTTCAGGTATTTATGAGTGAAATATTTGCTGCTAAAATTTCTCATTTTGAAATGCGCCTCAACAATTCAAATAAAAGTGTAAAAATAAAAAGTTCAGGTTTATGTGTGTGTACAGGAACCGGATCAACTTCCTGGAATTTAAGTATTAATAGACTGAGTCAAGATGATGTTCGTGATATTTTAAAATTGTATATTTCTGAAACTAAGGGTGAAATCGATGATAATTTTACTGATTTAGTTTCATACATTTCTCACAATTTCAATGATAAATTTCAATTTGAGCCTGGTAATTTCCTAATTAACTTTTTTTACTTTTTTTTTTATTGTTCATTATTTAAATTTTGTATTAATTTTAGAGAAGCAAATATTATGGTATACTATCCGCGATTTGATATCGCTCAGAGTTTGGCCATATCCGAAAGGTATCATAGAGCCTAGAGGGTATGCAAAAACAATTGAACTGAAATCTAAATGTTTGGATGCTGCAATAATTGTTGATGGAGCCATATTTTTTCCATTTAATGAAGGGGCCATTTCCATTTTGGAAACTCATCCAGAAGATGCTCTTAGAACGGTCGTTTTAAACGATTGACTTAAATTTTATAATAAAAATTTAAACAATTTTTTGACAAGATTGTATAATTACAATATTTATAATGCAATTAGTATTAACTTAGTTAAAATTTTTTACACAATGAAATGTATGAATTGAACCAATAAATTAAGTATGTATAAAAAATTATATATATTTTCTGATTTCCTTGATTTTTAGGAATAACTTTTATTTTTACGATCATTATGTTAATCAAAAGAAACTGTTGTTGTGTATTTCAAATTTAGATTTAAAAAAAAGAAAATTTTTAATTATTTAAGGTTTGTACTAGATTAGAGAGTTGAATTATTTAATTTTGAATTACCATAGGATTTCATAACAGTAAAAATTAACACTTAATAAAAAAAGTTAGTAATTATTTTTAATAAAATTACAAAAAAAAAGTATTTTAAAAAATGTATTTGATTTTTTAAAATTAGTATTTATTAAATTTAAAATATTTAAAGTTGAAAAAAGTTTTTCAAATGACTTTAGTAGTTTTCATATTGAAAAATCGACGTATCCGCCATAGATTAAAAGAAGGCTTGGTTTATTTTAAGTCTGAGTTTATACTTGATTTTTTTTTTTTTTTTTAAAGAGCATTTGAACAATTATTTTTATCTAGCGAATAATCAGGTATGTGAAGTTGAATATATTTTTTAAATTTGCATTCATATTAATGATTAATGTAGGAAATTTTTGATTAATATCAATTTTACTTGTAATTAAAAATTTTAGAGGTAAAATGCTGCATTCGCAGCCATTATTATGACGCCCGAGCCTCATTGTAATCAAACAAAATTATTCATTATTAATTACAATTTACGGGTGGTTCCATTGATTTAAATTTTATTTTATGATCAATAATTTTTATTTTTTAATTTCTTACCATTATAATTTTATATATTTTTTTATTTTTACCTTTCGATTTGTTAATATAAACCTGGAGGTCATTTTTATACTTCTTTAAAGGTTAATAATGAAAATAATTGAATAATTAAAAAAATGTTAAGTTGCAAAATATCTGTACAATTAAGTAAATTAAAAAATTCAATTTTTATTATGCATTTTAATGAAAAAATTTAAATCTAATTAATTAGTGTTTATTAAGTGGAATGATGAATTTTGTTTGTAGGAATACAATGCCTGGATTTAGCAGTGTAGGAACGTTTAAAATATTTGTTGGAAATTTATCTGACAAAACAACAAAAGCTGATATTCAGCCATTGTTTGAAAAATATGGAAAAGTTGTCGAATGTGATATTGTGAAAAATTATGGATTTGTGGTAGGTTAATAAATAATAAAAAAATGTTTAATTTAATTATTATTTTAAAATGATAGCTAATGATAAAAAATTTATTTTTACTATTTTGTATAATGCAGCACATGGAGCATGAAGATTCTGGGAGAGATGCTATTCAAAATTTAGACGGTTATTTGGTTCATGGAAGTTCAATTAAAGTGGAGGCAGCTACAAGTCGAAAAGGACCTCAAACACCAACGACTAAAGTTTTTGTTGGTAATTTAACTGATAATACGAAAGCTCCACAAGTTAGAGCTTTGTTTGCAAAATATGGAACAGTTGTAGAATGTGACATTGTAAGAAACTATGGGTTTGTTCACATTGAAAGTTCTGACAATGTTAATGAATGTATCAGAGAATTGAATGGTTATATATTGGATGGCCAACCTATGAAGGTATAAAAAAAAATTTATTTATATTTTATTAATATTTTCGATTGTAATACTTCGAAACATTTTTATATTTTTTTAATTTGTTTTTTTTTATTTTCAGGTTCAGTTATCAACTAGTAGAGTTAGGCAAAGACCTGGCATGGGAGATCCAGAACAATGTTACAGATGTGGTAGAGGAGGTCATTGGTCAAAAGAATGTCCCAAAGGTGGTGGCCCTGATCGTAGTAGTTACAGAGATAGAATGTTTGCCAGAGATCCCTATCCACCACCTCCTCCTCCTCCATTTTTGAGAGAAAGAATGATGGTAAGTTTTGGAATTAGTTATTTACATCAGAATTAAGTTATTAGGGGAAAAAAGAAAAATGAATAAATGATTTTTTTTTTTTTTTTTTTTTGAAAACAGGATCCGTATTATGAAAGATTTTATGAACGCACTCGTTATGATGATAGTGACTTGTTTGACAGAAGATTTTCACTTGGTCGTGAAATTCCAAGAAGCAGAGAGTTTTTACCACCTCCTCCATTACCTCCTCGCGGTCGTGAAACTTTACCACCCCCGCCTCCTAGGGGTTTTAGTTCTAGTTCTTTGAGAGAATATGAAAGAAGCTCCGACTATATGTACAGCCGTCGCTCTCCACCCACGACTTCTACATCTGTCGGCAGTAGATTTGGGTATGTATTTCAAATAATTAATTTCGAAACTCAATTTTATTCAAAATCACTCACACGATTAATATTACTTACAGTGGTCTATATGAAGACTTCAGTCGTGACACTTTCGACGATAGGGGGTAAGTTTGCACACGATTATTTAATATTTAAAAAAAGTAACACGCAAGTACACATAACTTTGGTTATTAAATAATTATTTCGCTTTAATTTTATGCAAATATTTTTGCTTCTCAGCTGAGGGAATGCATAATTCTATATATATATATATATAAATGATAGACTTTTTAAAGGTCTAAATGTGTTTTTTAACGAAAAGGTGCTTTTGTCCTTTATCATTGATTTATGGATTTTTTCACGTTAAAGTGTACGCATTCAGAGTTTCGGATAAAAACAACCGTTTAATATTAAAAATATTAGCTTTAATTACCATCATTTTTCAAGTTTAAAATCATTAGATTTTAATAAATTTTTTATGGCTTGTTTTTTCGTTAATAAACGATTCCGTTGATTTTCAATATCTCGAAAAAAACATACAATGATTTTAGGCTTACGTAAAAATGGCGGTTAATATAATTAAACATCGTTATAAATATATATTATACACACACACACGTAATTAAATTTTATCAAGTTGAAAAAACTTAAATCACCCAAAACAATAAATATATGCATATAGTAAAGGGGTATACAAAACATATTTTGCATTGTTTTTGTTAGAAGTTCATTGCGGAGCGCGGAATCATCACGTCGCTACGCGCCATATTAAAAGCGGATTCGAAAACGCGAGATGCCGATGTCGTCCGTTAACTCGTCGTCCGTTTGTCGACGTTTTTCTACGGGGCCGAACGTTCGATCAACGTGTTCTATGTTACTTAAACCATCGACATTTCGCTGACGGGAAATCTCCGTGAAGAATTCGTCAAATTTTCAAGATAAATATTTAGTTGTTTTATAATCAGTAAAATAATTTTCATAAAATACCTTTAGAGAGAGATGATTGATTGATTGATTGATTGATTATTACTTTTTCTCGACCGCTTTATATATATATAAACGAACTTTACCACACATTCAATTTCATTCAAAGTCATGTACGGATGTAGGAAGTATAATAATTGTAGCTCAGCAAAACTTTAAACCTAATTTTTTTTTTTTTTTTTTTTTTTTTGTAGCAAAAACCATTCGCGATTCTATATAATTGTATATTTTTAGTGATTTATCAGGAGAATATTATTATTATTATTATTATATATATATTTAAGGAAAATTGTATTAGAAAAAAATAATAAAAAAAAAAAAAGAGAGAGAGAAAAATGTTTTGGTTAATTTTGTCAGGTGAATAGTATTAGGATAAGGAATTTTTTTTTATAATTATTGACGAAAAATTTTTCTATTGTAATGTCACTATTATTATTATTATCATTCGAGAGAATAGTGTTGAAATTTTTTTTTTTTTTTAAAGACATTAATTAGATTGATTATTTTTCTTATTTGTGATGATTTGCTTCCTGGAAAAAATTATTAAAAAAATTTTTTTTTTTTTTTTTAAACAACGCATAAATGTGTGTGTTTATATACACATAAGATTCTATTTGTAAGACTATTTGATGACATAAATATATATACATAATGATATAAACAACAAAAAAAAAAAAAAAATGGAGATTTAGTATTGCAATAATCATATCCTGAATCGCAAAAAAAAAACAAAATAATAATAATAATAATACTATTGTTAATTCGGATTAGGAAAGAAATTTTATTTTTTGTCAGTTATTATTATTATTATTAATAATCTCTAACAAAATTTTAGTATAAACGCAAATCTTTGGTATAAAAAGTTATGATAAATTTTCTTCTTCCCTTTGAATTTTCTCAATAAAAATGAGGGTTTTGGTGGTATAATAATTTTTTAATAAAGGTAAAAAAATTCGGTTTTTCTTTGGAAGATAATAATAATAATAACCGATAATTTAACGGTTTTTTTCTTCCGTCGGTCGGTTTCTCCGGAAATGAAATTCAATTGTTTTGAGAAGAAACCGGAAGCGGCGGTGGCGGCGGAGTCGAGAACATCGCGGATTAGAGAAATCGTCTTGGATAATTGGTATATAACGTTCGTCGTGTCAAACCGTTAAAATAATAATAATAATAATTATTATTATTATTATTATTAATCGTATTCACGGTGATATCATTTAAAATTCGGCTAGAAAAAAAAAAAAAAAAAAAAAAAAAAAACAATTTAAAAAATCAAGTGCGCGGGGGAAACAAAAAACCGGCATCGTCGTCTCTACGTCGTTATTTCAATTTAAATTTTCCGGAAAATTCAGTCCCTTGGGTAAGCATTATTTAAAAAAAGGCTCTGGTGGTTTTCCTATTTAAAAAAAAAAAAAAATTAAACACATTTCATTTTTTTACTATTTTTACGGGAATTTTTTTAGCGGATTTGGAAAAAGGATTTAATTAATTTATTTTATTCATTATCATATATTACAACTAAAAACAAATTGTGTATAAATAATAATAATAATAATAATAATAATAAATATCAATTCTGAACTTGTAGTCGTCTGCTTTTTTTTAAAAATAATAATAATAATAATAATAAAAGTTTGAAATAAATTAATTAATTTGTTTATATTTATTTTTTCATAGTCATCATCATTTAGATAGATAGATAGATAGATTGGATGGAATTTTGTCACAATTTTTAATTATGCTGGTGGATAAACGAATGGACATGTTTTGTAAGATGGTGGAATTATGTTTGAAAAAGTATTAAAAAAATTATGTCCTTGTTATTTCACACGGTCTGATGAAAGTGATTTGACAAGATATCCAAAAACTTTGATTACAAACGATACGGATTTAAATCCAGAATCTGGGTAAGATTTTGAATTTTCCATGGAATTTTTTTTTTGGATAAGGAAAACTTTATTTATATTAAATAAATTTTTTTGTTTAGGTCGAATGAAAAAACTTCAAACAGTAGAACTACATCCGATTTAAAAAATGAATTTAGCAGTACGGAAGGTACATTTGAAGAAGATTGGAAAGGTGCATTAAACGTTATACAACCACAACCCGTGTACGCTTTCCCAATCGGTAATTTTTTTTTTTTTTTTTTTTTTTTTTATTAAAAATAACGGTTTTTTCTTTTCTTCGTGTAACGTTTTTTAATTTCGAAACTGATTTTCAGACTTGAAAAAAACGAAAAATCGAAATCAGAAAACTTTATTAAAACCTCCTTTATATTGGAAAAAAACAATGAAAAATCTTTCTTCGGATGGACCTCCTGTATTCTTATACTCCAATCGTAAGAAGAAAACGTTGAAAAATTTTAAAAATCATGTGAGTTTATTTAAGTTTTCGATAAAATAAAGTGTCAAAAAAAAATCTTATAAGGAAAAATATCTTACAGGTTATATATTCAAAGGTGCCACTTTTAAAACATGGCGAAACCGGAGGTGACGTCACTTCATTAACATCTCCAAACACGGAATCAAATTATTTTAAAGAAGTGAGATCGTTAAGTTTATGTAATTTAAATTTAAATAAAAATATAAGTAATAATAATAAGGAGAAAAGCGTCATGACTATAAAAACGTCAAGTTATATTTGGGAAAGTTTTACTAATTTAAATTATGAAAAATATTCCAAATGTCAAATCCTTTCGGATGTTTGCCATGGAAAATTATTATTTACAGCTGCATATTATAAAAAAAAGAAAATGTAAGGGGATATTTAATGAAAAATGTGAAAGTTTTCAAATGTATGATTTGTCTCCTCTTTTTTTTATTGTAGGTGTTTGATAAACATTAGCAAATTAGAAAATTTAACAAAAAAAGGAAGGGATAGAAATTCATATTTCTCAATAATTAAATTATCTATTCTTCCATCGGAAAAATATATAAAATGCAGTAAGATTTTGAATAATTGTAGCAATCCGGAAGTAAAGCAAGATTTTAGTTTCACAGTGAAAGAATTGTCTGGGAAAATATTAAGATTTTCAGTTTTTGATGCTTCCATTCAGAGACAAAATGAAGCCATAGGTCATGGATTATTTACACTCGAAGATATTAATTTTGATCAACCTAAAAAATATAGAATAAAACTTTACAAGAGTTCACAGGTACGAATTTGATTTATATTTTAAATATAATTTTATGATTATGTACATTTTCAATGACATTATTGCATTTTTAACAGCCCCATGTCTGTCCAGGTAATTTGGCTTTGTCATTGAGATATAACAGCGAGCAAAATAAATTTACAATATTAGTCGAAAAAGGGAAAAATTTAAGTCTTCAAAAAGAAAAGAATGGTAATGAAAAAAAATATTTTTTTGATTTTTAAATGTTGATTTATTTCATTGTTAATTATTTGGTTTGAATTTTAGTTAAGTTAAACACCTATGTTAAAGCCACAATGTATGTCCTGGGTGAAAAAATAAAAACAAAAAAATCAACGGTTTCAATGGATTCAAGGAGTCCTTATTACAATTGCACTTTTACATTTCAAGTACGAAATGATCAAATTGATCATTTATCCGTTACTATAACCGTTAGATTGAAAGGATTCGTAAACGATGTAATTATTGGAAAATTAAATTTCGGACCTTTTTTTTATATGGATAATAAAAAATTAACCCCTTGGGGAAGGGTGTTTTTAAGAAAAGAAGTGGTGCGACATTGGTATAGATTATATCTATGACCGGAAATGATGATATTTTTTAACTCGAAGAAAAATACTTTATTGTTGATTTTATAACTATTGTAAAATTTATTTTTAAACGATTGATTAATTATATATGTATATTAAGCAGTAAATAAAAACAAATATTATTTAAATATTGTTATTTATTTATTTATTAGTATTCCAATTCAGTATTTATTAATTTTACATAAAGCAATAGAGTAATACTTAATTTTACTTGGGTAATTTTATTCGTATTTATTTTTATTTATTTATTTATTTTTTTTGAAATTTTCTTTTATATAATTACAAAATTATTATTTTTTAATCAAATAATTAATAATTTATTTAAAAATACGAGTTGGATTGTTATAAAAAATTGTCAATGGCTCGAATTGAAAATAAGTTGGCAACAGTGTTTTTTTTATTGTTTTCAATATGGCAACAGTACAGTGTATGATCGAATGAGTGGAAAATGGCCGCGTTATCGAGTTCTCTTGATTTTGTTGGAAAATCAAGATTATTCGTAGGCTTGAGTGTACTTTTAGGACGAGGACAATTTAGTAAGTAAAATTTTATTAAAATATTTAACGATAATTTTGTTATAATTGGAGTAATTTTTTAAAAAGAATTTTGAAAAATGTGATATCGATATATTTTTGTGTCGGCTACTTGTATAATTATACTCTTAAAGCATACTTGTCGCGTCCATTTTTGTGTATACACTTATCCAAATGAAAACAAAGTAAAAAGTAATAATTTTATTTCTTTTTTCTAAAAATTATCACAGCAATGTTTTTTCTCATAAAAACTTTTTCATTTTGATATTATTTAAAACCTCGGTGGCCTTAGTACATCTTTTTTTTTATTTTGAAACTAAATTATAAAAAATTCATTTAGTTATTTTTATATTTTGTGAAATACCTGTTCATTTACTTAAAAATATTTAATTTAAAAACATTAATAATAATTTTTGTTTTTTTTTTTTTTTTTTATTGATCTTATTAAGGTTTTTTTTCTTTTATATTCAAAAATATTTTCGTATTAATTTTTAAAATTAGCCTTGTAATTAATTTTCTCATTCTAAATCAAGTTTAATAAATTGTTAAATCATATGTTATAAAAAAATTTTAGTATTTATTAATCATTTGTTTAAAATTGTTTTAACAACCATAAAAAATGATTTAAATTAATTAAAAAGTAATAAATTTTTTTTTGAATTCACAATCGAGCTCACATTTCATTATGTTAAAAAAAAGTTACTGAATTGGTCGAATGAATTTTATTATCATTATTATTTATTTATTTAATTTTTTTAAAATAAATTTAAAACATCATAATTTGGACTTGAAAATTATTAAGAATTAATTAATTTTTTAAATTTTAAATATTTATAAGTAATTAAAAAATTAGCAGTTTTTTTTTTTTTTAAGAATCATAATAAGATTTAAATTGACTTCGATTTGTTACAGTTCGCAGGTATTTCATGAAATTTATTTACTCGAATTAAATTTTTTTTTTTTTACTCGATTTTACTCCATAATTAATATAAAAATATATAGTTGTACATATTTTCATTAAAAAAATGTCAACAATGTTACAGTAGATTGTTATTATTCGAAAAATTTGCAGTTTAAGCTTTTAACATGAGATTAAACGATTTGTTTACCACAAAAGGTTTTTTTTTTTTTTTTTTTTTTTTTTTTTTTTTTTTGCACACATTTACAATTGGTTGTAGTTGAATGATGATGATGATGATGATGATGACCGTTCTAAAATTATTCTTTTTTCAACCGAATAATTCGTCAATAATATTTTTCCTCACGTTTTTAAATTTGAACTTAATGAAAAATACAATAAATTAACCGAGATGTCAAAAAAAAAAAAAAAATTTTTCTTATAAGGAACGGAATGTATTTCCTACGTGATAATACCTAGAAAAAGAGAGAGAGAAATAGCAGCCTCATTGTACCTTTTTTTTTTTTTTTCAATAAGAATTCCTTTTTGAATACCTACCTTCACGCATGAAAAATTCTTAAAATTCAATCTTTTTCTCTCTCTCTCTCTCTCTCTCTTCTCCAGGTGGGTGCCTTTAAAATTTAAGTACAAATAAGATTTTTTGGAATTTCTCCTTAAAAGTTATGATGTAATTACGTAAAAACTTTGCCTTATGAAAAAAAAAAGAGATTTTATGTAACCTATGTAAACATCATGAGAGAGAGAGAGAGAGAGAGAGAAAAATTTTTTTATTGACCTGGTGACAATGAAGTCTTTTCTTTTTTGTTCAAATTGATGTTTTTATATATAAATTATATACTAATAAGTAGTAGAGGTGGTGGTGGTGGTGGTGGGGGTAGTAGTAGTGGTGATGGTGGTAGTAGTAGTAGTAAGGTTACATTTACTTCTTCATTCTATCAAACACTCTGATAATGATAATTAACACTAACACCTGGTAGTCTTCCTTAAAAAATTAATATGGCTTAACTAACTTTAACATTATTCGTGCTTGAAAAAAAAGTATAATAATAATAATAATAATAATAATAATAATAATAATAATAATTAAAGAAATTTCAATGTAAAATATATTTTCCACATAATCGAGTTCGAACCTTAATATATATATATATAAATTGTTATGTTGATTGTTAAAAATGAGATCCTGTCAGTGAGTGAGTGAGTTGATTTTCCTGGGGCGTTTCAACACCTTCATTTAATTTTACGATTTTTCTAGAATAGTCGGAGGTATGTGGTAGGTGGTAAACTTATTGTCGTCGGTTATAGGTAGCACATGATAAGTGTTTGGGATTTTTACAAGTGGTACCCAAGGAACGTGTAATAAATTATTTTTCGACCGAGACATTGGTAAACTACTTTAAAAATAATTAACGAGGAGAGAGAGGGAGGGAGGGAAAGAAAAATTATTAATAATAATGATAGAAAATATTCGTTTTAAAACTATTTCTTGTACCATTTTATGTTTCTTTTAGGTTAATTTGTTTTTTTTTTTTTTTTATAAGGATAAATTTTCCTTTTCAGACTGAAAGAAAGAAAATATATAAGTGCAATAAGAAAATATATAAGTGTTGGTTTTTTTTTTTTTTACTATTTAAAAAAAGGTTAAAGTAAAAATAATGATAATGATAATAATAGTATATGTCAAAAAAATAAAAAATAAAGTAAGAAAAATTTAAGTGATGTTGATTATGTGGTCAAATCTTCAGGAATCAAAACGTTGTTGCTGTTGTTGTTGTTGTTGACCATGTAAATTCAATTTTCGAAAGGAAAGTTCGAAAAAAAAAAAAAAAAATGTGGTTGTCAAAAGACATATTGACTTCTTTAACGGAGGCACAACATGACAACAATGACAATAATAATAATAATAACGATGATGATGATGAGGAAGTAGAAGAATTTCCCGAAAGAAGTAGGTATAATTAGTTGATTGATTGATTGATTGATTGATTGATTTATAAAGTTGAAATGTATCATACTACATATAGAAAAAATTTAACGTACGAAAAAAAATTCTAATTTTTTTTTTTTTTTTATTTAATTGCCAATAATTTTTACGCTTCGTCAATTTCGACTGGCTATCAGTTAAAAATAATAAAAAGTCATTCAATTAATTTTAAATTTTTTTTATACGATGTAAATTTATAAGAAAAAAAAAAAAAAATTAAATTAAATCTAATTCGTGAATTCCTTTTTTTTTTTTTTTACATGCATTCTTATTCGTTATGAAGAAACGAGTAAAGGTAAGTTTTATTAATCTATGGCGTGCGAATTATTTATTTATTTATTAATTCACGCAAAAAAAAAAAGGTTTAGAAAATGTAAAAAAGGTTTAAATTTTTTATTAAACACGTGCGTCGGATGAGCGTATATGTATATCTGTGACGTCATACATATTAATTTTACCTTTCACGAAAGGTTCATAAGGAAGGTTGTAATCCTTTGCTGATTGAAAATGGGTTTAAACCTTAAATTATTTTATGAAAAGGTTGGAAAAGGTTTTGTTAAAAATGCACTTGATTTTTTTTTTTTCCCCCACCCCCAGTTTAACACAAACTAAATATTCCTGCATGCACGTATTAATTGGGAATGCACGTCAAATTCTTCTATTATTATTATTATTATTATTTGGGGGGGGTGAAGGGAGGGTAGAGAGAGTATTTGTTCAAAGGTATAATAAATGTGTGTGCTTGCTCTCTTTCTTTAATTTTACCGTTTTATTTCATTTCTGTTTAAAGGTAATGGAGTTTTGTGTTATTGCGTGGGTCATTGTCCCGAAGATAAAGACACGGGAACGTGCGAGACGAAAGAAGGAGGTTCTTGTTTTACCGCCATTCAAGAAGTTTTCAACATAGAGACGAACAAATGGGAATTGGAAAGGACTTACGGGTGTCTTCCCGGAGACGAGAGAGGATTTATGCAATGCAAAAGTTACATGATACCACACGCGAAGGAAAAAGCTATCAAATGTTGCAATTACACGGACTATTGTAACAGAGCTTTGACTCCCAAATTTGAAGTTCGAAGCACGACACCGAGTCCGGGAATGTCTTACGATGATAGCATTCACTACATAGCTCTTATTATTTCAGTGACTGTTTGCTTAATAGCATTTCTTGTTATTGTTGCATACTATTACCTCAGGTACAAAAAAAGAGAAGATATGAGACTATTTAACCTCAGTCAAGCGAGCAGGTCCGTATACTCAAATTTAAATTTCTCATCCTTTTTTTCTAAAATTGGTAAACTGTCTAAAATTGGTTCCCTTTTTTTTTAGAAATTGTGATGCTTATTTGGCAACTACGGGAACACTCTCGGAACTCATTGAACAAAGTTCTGGATCGGGTTCGGGTTCAGGATTACCCCTTCTCGTTCAGCGAACAATCGCTAAACAAATTCAAATGGTTCATTCTATTGGAAAGGGTCGATACGGAGAAGTTTGGCTCGCTCACTGGCGAGGGGAAAAAGTTGCCGTCAAAGTATTTTTCACGACGGAGGAAGCCAGTTGGTTTCGTGAAACGGAAATATACCAAACAGTATTAATGAGAAATGAAAACATATTGGGATTCATCGCGGCGGACATAAAAGGAACGGGATCTTGGACTCAAATGCTTTTGATCACGGACTATCACGAAAATGGTTCTTTGCACGACTATTTAGCCTCTCACGTTTTAGACTCATCTTCCCTAATGAAATTGGCCTTGTCGACGGCAAGTGGAATCGCTCACCTTCACCTCGAAATCTACGGGACTCGCGGAAAACCCGCGATATCACACAGAGACATTAAAAGTAAAAATATATTGGTTAAAAGAAATGGAGAGTGTGCCATAGCAGATTTCGGATTAGCTGTCAGATACATCAGGTGAGTGAATAACGTTTTTTTTTAAATTTAAATCTAATCGATTTGCCACCATTAATTTATGTTTGTTCTTTTATTTAGCGAAACTAATAAAATAGACATAGCTCCAAATACTCGAGTGGGAACGAGACGATACATGGCACCGGAAGTACTCAACGAAACACTAAACACTTCCGCTTTTGAATCATTCAAAATGGCCGACATGTACTCTTTAGGTTTAGTTTTTTGGGAAATGACTCGGAGATGTGCCACCGGTGGGAAATTGAGTTCTGCCGAAGACTATCAATTGCCTTATTACGACTGTGTGCCTAACGATCCCTCTTTCGAGGACATGCATCAAGTGGTTTGCGTGAAAAATATCAGGCCTCAAGTACCACTCAGATGGGAATCGGATGAGGTATTTATTGATGATGATACAATTTTACTTTTTTTTTGTTTTGAGTATTTACGAATTAAATTATTAATTATTTTAAGGTATTGAGAACTTTGTCGAAAATAATGCAAGAATGTTGGCATTCAAATCCTCCAGTTCGATTGACGGCTCTTAGGGTAAAAAAAACATTATCGAAATTAAAAGCGGACAATTCAATCAAATTAGTGTAAATATATAAATAAAACAAGAACAAAAACAATTTTTTTTAAAAATGTAAATATTATTATTATTATTATTATTATTATTATTAAAAAGAGAAAGAAAAGAATTAAAAATGGTATATTTTTGTACTTTATTTGTGTACGAATCGAATTTTCCGAGTACTTTTTCGAATCTGCGTTTTATTTATAAAAAAAAAAAATTCAATAAAATATATATATATATATTATTAAGTTTTTATTTAAAAATAGTTTGTAATTAATTAATTAATTATTGTAAAATATTTATTTAAAAAATTTAAACTAAATAAGACGTTAAGATAATAACGATAAGAATAAATGCACTTTTTAATTAATTAATTAATAATTTTTTTTATTATTAAAATGGATTTTAGTAAATTTACATATTGATCACAAAACAATGAGTTTAGTTTTATATTAGTAAATTTCATTTGTTAATAAATTTTCTCTTTTTTTTTTTTTTTTTTAAAGTTATTATTATTATTACTGCTTTAGATTTTTTATTGTTTTTTTTTTTTTTTTTAATAAGAGTTAATAATAATAATTATTAAAGGTCATTAAAAGAGAATCAAAAAAATTTTTTTTAAAATTTATTTCTCAAAGCTTTAACAATTGCAAGTTACAAAAATTATTATTATTAATAATAATAATTGAAGGATATTGTCCAAGTTTCGATTAAAAGAAATTTAATAAAATGTTTTTATACGATTCAATTTTTTTTTTATCTTTTAATATATATATTTTAGTGATTGATAATTTAATGATTTATCGGTTTTGATGTAATTTTTTTTAATTTGAATAATTATTATTATTTTATTGTAGTAAAATATTTAAGCTTTTTTTCTTATTTTTTTTTTTTTATTAATTTTCTAAAGCAGTATTAATAATATATATTTTATGCTTGTATATCTTGTACAAATTTAATAAGACTAAGGGTGTATGTGCCAACAAATATTAATAATAATAGCTAACAATTTTTTTTTTTTATTATGTATATAATAATAATAATAATAAAATTTATGTAATTATATATAATAAAATTAAGTCATTTTTATTAATTTTAATTTTTTTTAAAAAAAATTTTATTTGTATACACATGACTTTGTGGAAAGTTTCGAAATGTAAAAATAATTATCTGTGCCATTATTAATGATTTTATAATTTGAAAAAATGTATTGTTTTTATTTGCAGCTGTTTTTTTTTTTTTGTAAATAATAATAATAATATGTTTTAAAACTGAATTTTTAGATATGAGAGCATTAGTAAAATAAACATTGTGGTAGGATTGCAAAGTAACATAATTTTCAAATGAAAGGATGGGGGAAAATCGATTTGTAATAAACGAAACAAATTTACATACTTAAAACATAATGTTTTATTTAGCTTTTTTAACAACTGGAGCAGATTTCATTGATTGTTGTTGTGCTTTTAATGCTTTTACAACTATTTTATGTTCTTCCAATAAAAATGCTCTTACTATTCTTTCTTTAACACATTTATGGCATAAAACTCCACCATAGGCTCGTTTAACTGTTTTCTTTCTCAGACACATTCTAGATCGTTCCATTGGGCGAGCTGGAATAATTCCTCTTAATTTTTCTTTGCACTGCCCACATCTTGGAATCTTTTTTGGCTTTTTCAAATATTGATAAACAAGTTTACCTCCGGGGGTTCTTACACTAAAAAAAAAAAAATATTAATGTAAATAATTGTACGTTTTTTTTTACAGACATTTTAATACAGCTTTTTAAAATGCTCAATATAACCACACTAATACATGTTTATGTATGTACTAGACATAATAACCTTAAAATAACTGACAGTGCGACAAAGATTTTAAAAAACTAAACCGACCTTTACTTACAAATCGACTTAGAAAATATTTAAAAACTAATATAATTTAACCAAAGCCACTTTAACATTTTAATCATGTTGTTCAAGACCTTTAAAAAACAAAAATTTGAGTGTAAAACTTTGTACAATATATTATAGAATTTGCTCACTTTATAATTGCAATATAACGTAACGGAATGCTTCGAAGCACACGAAAAATACAAACTATTTAGTGAGTTTGTAAACTGAGTGGTTTAAAAATTACTTTTATATAAAAACAAAAAAAATATTTACATACACTCTTCTCCTATTGCTTTTGGTATTGTAAGACAACCTACGCCTGTAAACCAAACGTTGAACCATTTTAATTTATCTGAAAATAATATAAAGCATTAATAGTTTTTATAAATGTAATTACTTATGTTAGATGAATTAGTTAAAAGATATATTAAATAGGATAAAAATAAAGTTTTAATATCATACTTTAAATTTCCAAAATCGAGCAGGTAGAATTGCCAACATTAAAAAAAATATGGTTGCGTATTTGAAATGTAGCAGCAAATTAATTAATAACAGCGGCAAACAGTTTCCGCCATGTATATTAAAAATTAAATCAATTTTATAACTTTTAATCAATTTTTTTTTAAAACACTGACGACGCAGTTAATAACACCGTTTTAGTTATTAAGTGCAATTTAGTTTAAATTATTTATTTTCTTTGTAAATTGTTACCATGTTTGAAATATTCATTTTAAATGCTTATTTGTTTAAAAATATGGTTACACTGATAAAAGAAATTTACATATGATAAAGAGTAATTTTCAAAGTGGCAAAATGGATTTAGATTCGAATAAATTTGTTTCTCAAATACCGGTATCCAAAATACCTTCTCCATCATCACCGTTCAAAAAATCATATTCTCTAAGAGTACGTGGACAAAAAGCAAATTTATCGACATCATTGCCTACACAATCAGTAATTCACGAAAATTCTGATTATTCCAATGGAAAATCTTTCAAAAGTAATCTTATGCCAAATCATTTAACGAGGAGCAGGGTAAGTTAAATATTACATAAAGATAATTTTTTCTGTTTGTCTATTTATTAATATTAAAAGTTATTCAGTTAAGGTTTGTAATCTTTTTACCAAATAATAATTAATAACGTACTATATTTTCAGCTAAGTTGTTTAAGCAGAAATGGTTTGGAAGACGATTTAGAGTCAATTGGCAGTGTCACTAGTAATTTCAGTATTGCAACTCAAAATTCATCTTGCGAACATGTTAATTTTGCTAAAAATGGTACCACTTATTCTGGTAGAAGTCATAAATACATTGTACATTGTTCATCTGGTTGGAATGATCAAGAAGAATATTTAACTCCTACTCAAAGAGCTAATAGAAATATAAAAAAATTAAAGGTCAGTTGAGATTAAAGTGTTTAAAACATTAATTTACATCATCATTATTTATGCATTAATTGTCCATGGCTTTTATAAAATTTTTAAAATTGAATTATAAAATATTAATTTAAAATGTATAAATTTTGTTGCAGAGTCTTTTACAGTTAGCCAAGGAAAAATTAAGAGAAAAAGAAGAAGAAATATTCAAGTTAAACAAAGAAGTTAGTGAATTAAAAATTTATAGAGAATCAGTGGAAGCATACAAAAATCCTCCAGACAACCAGGACCAAATTTCTAATGAAAGTTTTAATGTAGCCGAAATTCAAGCATTGCCTCCGCAATTTAATAAATCCATTGCTCAAAAAAGCTCTGAATTTTCACCATTGAAATATTTATCTGATGAATCCAGCCATTTTAAAATGTCACCTACTCCTTCCCATGATGGAATCGGAGATAAAAGTAGTTGCACTCCAGATTTTTTTTTACCATCTATGGCAGACTCTGGTAATTTTGATGATTTACCATCCTCTGCATCGATATATTCAAAAGATTCAATGAGTTTTATATCGTCTGAAACGAAATCGATTCTGCAGGATTCTAATACGATTAATTGTTTTTCATTTAAAAATGATTTGGATAATGATACTGTCGATGGCAGCGAAGAAAAAAAAGAACTCATACAAATGTATGAAAAAAAATTAAATGACAAAAAATTAGAATATGAAATGGAATTAGGAAATCTAATTAAAACACAAGAAGAGAAAAATCTCAAAATCATTCGTGAATTCGATGAGAAATTAAAAGAAGAAGAAGCAAAATTTGAGCTCAGATGGAATGATTTACTAAAAACCACTGAAGAAGAAAAAATGCAAATTGTAAATAGATTCGAAATGAAATTAGAGGAGGAAAAATTGAAATATAGAGATAATTTAAATACTTTTAAGGCTCAGGGAGGAAAAATAAGCGATATGATTTTCGATTCGGATTATTGTAAGACTGTGGAAGAAGAGAAAACAATATATGAGACTGCATTGGTTGATATTAAGGAAAAGTTTGAGACTGAAAAATTGCTTATTGAAAAAAAATTTGATGAGGCTATGGCAACGGAAAGAAACAAATTTGAAGACAATTTACAAAGTATAAAGAAAATTTGTGACTCTCAAGTGAATGATTTAACGAGCAAAGTGTCAGAATTAGAGACTCAGTAAGTATAATGTTTTATATTTGTCTTTTGTTAAAAGTAACATTTCAAAATTGCATATCATTGAATGCTTGTTGCATACTATGTAAAGTTTTGATGAATTTGGAAAAATCTTATTTATTTTTTGTAAAAAATTTCAGAGTACAAATGTTTATGTAATTATTTCAAATATTTTAGGTATTCTGAACTGATACCGAAATATGAAAAAGCTATGTCACTAAAAGAAGAATTAGAAAAGGAAAATGAAATGTTAAAAGCTTCACTAAAAGAACAGGAAGAAAGTCACAAAAAAATGTATTTGGAAATTTATAAAAAAGGCCAAGAATCAGTTAGTTTCGAGGCAAACAGTCAAGTAAGTTTTAAAATTTTAAAAATGATTTTTGATACTCTTGTGTGTCACTTCAAAAAGTGTTTTTTTTTTTTTTTTTTTTTTTACAGGAGGTTGAAAACAAAAATGCATCACCAATGTCAGTGCCAGAGTTGTTTGCTCAATTGAAAATAACAGAAGTCGAATTGGAAAATTTAAAGGTATTATTATTATTATTATTATTGTTATTAATTATTTATGAAATGCTGTGCATGTAAAAAAATTGAAATTCACTGTATTTTATGTTTTATAACGACACAAATATGCCGAACGATTAACACTTAAATTAAATATATCTTTATTTCTCTTTAATTTTGCTTATTCAACTGGAGGACAAGGAATATAGGGCAGCCCATTCTGATAGTAGTGGCTTTTGTTTACTTAGTTCTAAGGAAGCCATATCTCTTTGGCTTTTAGCTGCCAGAAAGGTTTGTCACTGAAAATGAGTAGTAGTCGATTACTTAAAAGTGTGTTTGTGTTTCATGATGTGATGTGTTCTTATATTTTTGCATGATAACTATATTAATACTTTTCTTCCGTTTTTTTAATTTTTTCGATTTTGAATAGCTTTAATTTTTTGTTTTTTTGATATTAATTCACGAAGAGACAGATACTTGACGACGTTATAGAGATTTCATATATACAAAAAAAAAAAAAAAAGAAAGATTACACACTAATACAAGTCCTTTTTTTAATTTTCAGGCAATGTACAAAAGATTAGCGGAAGCTCAGTCAAAAACGGTTAAAAACGAAAGAAGCGGAAACGATCCGGAGGCAACGTTGCAATTTTTAAAATCCGCGGTTTATTATTTTCTAACGGATAAAGAAAATCATTTGGGACATTTGAAAGCAATCGAAAGCATATTGGCATTTTCATCAGCGGAAAAAAGTAATATTGAAAAATTTTATTTAAATAGATATTATTAATGATGCTTTTTAATTAGAGCTGTCATTTTTTTTTTTTTTTTTTTTTACCAAGTTAAATGCACGCCTAATAGTATAGTTTTCCAATAATTAGTCAATCAATCAATCAATTAGTCAGTCATTTTTCTTAGTTATCTTTCTGATCTCAGTTAAATTGTACACTATGTATGTATGTATGTATGTTTGAATGTGTTTAGATTTACGTATGGCTAATATCAACGAATAGTAGAAATAATATATATGTATATATATATATATAAATTTGAGTAAAGTTTAGTATGAACGTTTTACTTCACGAGATACTATTTCACTCAGTTTTTGTGCAATCAATCAATCAATCAATCCATAAGTATTGAATTTATCAAAGTGCAATAATTTAAAATTTTTTAACTAAGTCATTAATTATGCTTATGTTTTAAACTTGAAAAATGATTTCGAATAAAGCTTGATTACAAAATTTTAAAAAATTCATAATTTATTTTTTAAATTCTTTCAAATAAAAATGTAATTAAATTATATTTTCATCATTGATAAAATCGATTGCAGGAGATGTTGTTTATATAAAAAAAAAAAAAAATTTAAAAACATTTTATTAAAAATTTTTTTATTATATTAGTAATGCTTTTTCACAGGCGTTACTTTTTACTTCCAGGCAAGATTATACCATCATACTGAAACAAAAACAAAACAAAAAACCATTATATAAATATAAATATGACAGCCTAATTATGATATTTAAAGTATCATTAATTATAATTAATTTGTTTCTTTTATCAGAGTCTCATTTATGATAAAATAATAAACGAGATTGTACGAAAAGAAATTAATTTTGCATATTTTCGACTAAGAAAGAAAAGTAATCAATGTATACACATTTACTTTTTCTTGGTGCTGTAATATGCATACTACAAAATGAGATTCTGTATATGTAAGTAAAATGTTTACCTTTTGCTGGAACCACTTCATGGCATCTTCTTTTGTTAACCTGTGCCTGAATCCAATGACTCCCTTCTTTCTCCTTCTGTGTGCCACATTAAAACCTAACACACACACACAAAAAAAAAAATCATGAAAACAAATGCCTCAAAATAATTTTTAAAATGTTTTAAAAATTTTCATTACTAACTAACCTGGCCTTCCCAAAACGACATAAAAATCTAATCCATAGATACCAATACTTGGATCATATTTAATGTTCAAATCAATATGTTCTTGGATTCCAAATCCAAAGTTTCCAGTGTCGGAAAAATTGTCCCTTTTTAATTCATATTCTTTTACTTTTAATCCTCTGTCCAATATTTCCTCTGCTTTAGCACCTCTTACGGTACAATGAACAGCAATTTTTTCATTTCTTCTAATACCAAAGGAACGGACTGTGTACCTCGCTTTGGAAAAAACAGGTTGTTGACCTGTTAACTGCTCTAATACCTAAATAAAAAAATTTTATACTTTAAAAACCTCATTTATGAATAAATCATGTGTATCTCTGGTTTAGTACCACTATGAGTATTATTTGTCATAGAGGGTTGCAATAAGAGAAGTTTTATTTTGCACAATCTCGTAAACAAAATTTAATAAAATTCTGCCTTAAAGTGTTGTGCTTTATAAATAAAAATAGATAATTTAAGATAGATTTAAAAAATGTTAATATGTTTGATAACCTAAAAATAATGCATGTACCAACCTTGGCAGCCCTAGTTAATCTATCTCCAGATTCACCGACACAAATATTCAAACATAGTTTACGAATTTTAACTTCTCGCATAGGATTTTTCGTCTTATCCTTTTCTTTTTTGCCCGACCGAACGACCACCTTTGTGGTCTTCTTGGCAGCCTGTAATTTTAAAACACGTCAATAACTTATATTGAATAATTAAAAAAAAAGCTAGATGTTGAATGCGATACACGTAAATCGTAAAAAATAAAAATTTAACGACTATTGAAAGCGTTTTAATTAGTAAATAATAATATTGATAAAGGATGAATTCAATAAATAAGGATGAAAATTTAATAACATACCTTTTCCTGCACGGCAGGCATGATTGGATTTTGAAGAAGATACTCAGTAGTAATGTTGGCTATTCTGAGTTGTAACTTTATTTACACTTTACGCCTCATAAAAGGCTGTGATTTTTAAAAACTTTAACTTTTTTTTTTTTACTTGTTTTTAATTTTACAATAATTTCAGTATTTTAATTTTAATTGAGCTATGGAAAGCGAAATTGCGATAGTAGAAGAAAAAAAAGATGAAGTACCTTCAACTACTTCAAATGATCCGAGGCTAAGGAAATTAGCAAGACGATTAAGAATTCAGCGGAGATTAGAAAATGCTGAAAAGTAATAAATATAAATTTTTTATTATTATATTTTTAAACCGAATTAACATTTTAATATACTGATAATTTTTTAAAATGACCTTAAAATAATTACATTATTAATCTAAAGGCTTAAAGCTATTGCCGAAGGAACATTTCAAGAACCAGAATCTGAAGTATCGTTGATAGACGACACAATTGAAACTAGCGAAGATACGCTAATGCAATTATTTTATGAAGGGAAAGAACTGGTTAATATTTAACGAGTTATTAATTTGAAAAAAATAATAATAATTAAAACTAATATTAATTTTTTTTAAAATTAGATTACAAATATTAGAGTCGCAAGTGATTCCGTTGAAGTTTTGCGTAGAAAAACTGAACTTGAAGAAAAAAATGCAAGAATAGCTCAATTAAAAGAAGAATCTTTAGCAGCATTAGATAAATTAGAAGAAATTTCATCAGAATGGAATTCAATTGTTGAAACTACTGGGGTTCTCGTATTGAACGATCATCTAAAACAGCAAAAGGCCAAATGTTTGGAATTAATAACACAGAAAAATAATTTACTGAAAAACTTTCATTTGGAATTGAAAGTAGCCGATGAAAAGTTTATGAAAGGAAGGAAAACTATGTATGAAGAATTGGCTTTGTTAACTAAAAGAATCGATGAACAAGTTTTGTTAATGAAAAAAGCTTGCAGAATTGAATTAGATCATATAGAGGTTTGTTATTTATTGAAATTGTTTACAATTTGAAATATTCAAATATTATTCCATTAATTTTTTATTTATTTATTTTAAATTTTAGGAGTCTATAGATACGACAAGAAATCAAATTACTGAAAATAATTTTAAAACCTGGCAAAGTTTATATAATCAAAGAGAAAAAGATGAAGTTTCTAACATTCAAAGAAAGTCAGAAATGGTAATGAGATATTTTATCGATTGAATTTTCTTGTTATTGTTACAAAAAAACATTTTCATTAAAATTTATTTTTAGGTTGAGAAATTTTTTCAAGATATGTATGTATTGCACAGAGATCATCAAGAAAGATATAGAGAAACAAAAATAACATTGGAATATGATGTGCAAGCTTTAGAACAAGAATTGGAAAACATAAAAGCTCTATGTCTTCTAAATAGTGAAAAATTGGATTACAATTTTCAAGTTTTAAAAAAAAGGGAAGAAGAAAATGTTTACATAAAACATCATCAGAAGAGAAGATTAAATAAGTAATGAAAATAATTTGTTTACCTTGTGCACAGCTTCTTAAACCCAGAATTGCCAATTAGATTACTTTTCACTTGAAATAAATATTTTTATTAAATCTGTGCCTCCCATTTTGATAAAAATTTTTTTTCATTATCATTTTGAGGTAAATTATTTTTAATATTATTTTTTTTCTTCATAAAATAATTTATTTGTATTTATTAATATATTGTTTTAGGCTTCAAGATTTGGTAAACACTTTGAAAAGAAAAACAGATGAAAAAAGACAATCGACTGAAGATGAAGTGAAAAAATTAACAAAAGAAGTTGAAAGATATCATGCAAATGTCGAAGAGACAGAAAATAAAGCTTTGAAAATATCCGAGATGAATGAAAGAAAATTTCAAAGTATTTGGGAAATGAAAGATGATGAAGCGAAAGAGTTATTAAATAAGGTAAATTTAAAATTTGATTACAAAGAAAAAAAATTTTTAATTTTATATAATTAACATACTTTTTTTTTCTAGATTACGATGATCGATAAAGTTATTTATGAACAAATTTTGGGTTTGAATTGGAATTCACCTAATCATCCAGTCTTAAATAAAACAGAATTACCTTCTTATAAAGTTGCTGAGGATGTTATAAATGTAATGAAAAGTAAAGGTATTTAATTTCTGTATCATTCAAAACCTAATAAGGAAACTTTTTCACCTGATATTATTTAGTAATTAAATTTGTTTGTAATAGAAAAAAATACTAAAACCGTTGATGAAACCAAAATGACTGCCGAAGTAGCAGCGAGTAAAAAACGTTTATTACATCATATATTGGAACAAGTAGCTGATCAGTCTGGATTTTTAATTGAAGAAAAATTAAATCAATTATTAATGCGTTACACGAATGATGAAAAAACTTTGGTTCGCTTGGACAATGTTTTTGCAGTGAGTAAAAAAAAACTTTTGTGAATGTGTCGTCGTCTTTTAACCGTATTTAAAAAAAAAAAAAATTAATTTTGTTTTTAGGCTATTGATGTTCAAAGTGAAAACGATTTCGAGACAATGAAAAATGTTTTTCGACCCTTTGCATATTGTCTTATTTGCGACAGAAAAGAAAATTCCGCTTATAGTTTAGATGGAAAAGATGATCCATTCGATTCGTATTACAAAAATTCTTCTGATAACAGGCCATCTTCCATTATGCAGTATGTATGGAGTGTATACCTTCAAATCCATTTTAAACGATAGAACATAATAAAAGGGAAAAAAAAAAAAATAATTTTAGAATGCGAGAGTTGGAAGAAAAAGTGTCGAAATTAAGAATTCAAGCAAGAAGAGATGATGATTTTGAAGAGAAAAATGAAAGTGGAACAACTGGAAAACCGGGAAGTCAATCAACTAGTTATGAACCCAAACAAAGTGAAGGAGGAGTTCAATCTTATGTTTCTGATAATGAAAAAGCAGCTTTGGCAGAAAAACGAAAACCCAAAGAAGATCAATGTGATATATCTCATCCTATGGTTATTGAAAAAATTCACGTTTTGAAAGCTTTGAAAAACTTTGTGACTACACTTCATGGTGATAGATGTGGGTAGGTACACACACACATACACACTTTTCAGGTAGTTTATTTTTACTTACATATAAGAAAATATGTTAATTTTTTAAATGAAAAATAATAATTGTTTTAGAACTCCGACAGGAATGTCATCAAGGTTGTCTAAAAAACGATTTACCATATCGAGACTCCTTTCAAAAGAAGATATTGCTTCTTATTGGGAATCCTATAGAACTTTGGTTCCTCATAAAATTAAAAACAAATGGAATGCTGTTTTTCTTGCTCTAATCAAATATTTAAATATTTTACAGGGTAACAATTGACAGATTTTAAATTATTTTTATAAAATAATTGCTTTTAATTCGATTCTAATAAAATGAGTGACCATATTTGAAGTTTTAATGGCTTCGACTCAAAGAAAAATAAAAATTTAAATTATATATTTTTCAGAACGTCATGCACTTAATCTTAAAGCTCAAAAACTTCATAGTAAAAATTTAGAATTGAAAAAATTATTACATCAATATCAAGGTGCTAAAAGAAAAAATGAAAGTTTTATATTACCCCGTATTTCTACAGTTCCAGATGGACCCATTGATTCAGAAGAAATAGCAAAGATTGTTTCAAAGTTGGAACAATAATAAAAAAAAAATTAAGTTTTAAAAAAATTAACATTTAAATAAAGTATTTTTTTTAGTAGAAAATTATTATTATTATTTTTAATTTTCCCAATAAATGTTAAATAATATGTATTTCGAGTAATAAACGTAAAAGAAAGGTACAAATTTTTATAAATATTGTATTAAAACACAAATGAGTTTGTTTTTTTTTTGTCATCAATTACTAATTTTTAACGGTTAAAAAAATTTAAAAAAACTTCAATTAATTTTTTTTTTTTTGGAGCAATTTAATTGACACAAGTTTTTTTAAAGGTCAAAAAGTTAAAAACAAACCAAGGTTTTCGTAATGAATAATTTTTTTTAAAAAAAATTAAATTTAAATTGTTTTAAATTAATTAATTAATTAATTAATTCGCGAATAAAAATTTATTTACAGGAATACAAGCAGAAAAAAATTATTCAAGTTTCTCAAAATTCAAAATGTCGGAACGTGATTTAACTGAAATTGTAACATGGCAACCTTGCGTCAGAAATTTAAATCAATTAATGGATTTATCAATTACATCAATTTCGTAAGTCTTCCATTATTATTATATTTTGTCTTCCATTTTTTAAATTTTAATTTATTTTGTAGGAAGTGTAGAGTTTTTAATTGATAAATATAGAGTAAAATTAAAATAATTATTTTAATCGATTATGTATAGTTTTAAATCAAAATTTTATAATTATTTTTTTATAAATAATTACCGGTTGTATAGTTCCTTTAAAGATAAATCGTTTGTTAATGGAAAATGGGTTAATGGTGTTTTAAATAAAAAATTTGATGTCGTTAATCCGGCTACTGGTAAGATAATAGGGTCCGCGCCAAATCTTAATGTCGAAGATGTTTCAGAGGCCATCAATTATGCTTCGGAAGCATTTAAATTATGGAAAACAACTACGCCCAAAGAAAGATCTGATTTACTGAGACAATGGTATAATCTTCTTGTTAAAAATGCCGATGAATTAGCGGATATAGTGACAGCAGAATCAGGAAAATGTAAAACTGAGGCTTTAGGTGAAGTCAAATATAGTAATTCTTTTGTAGAATGGTTTTCCGAAGAAGCTCGTAGAATTCATGGAGAAGTAATTGATGGACAGGCCAAAAGTAAACAAATGATTTTCATTAAACAACCCATAGGTGTTGTTGGCTTAATCACTCCCTGGAATTTTCCAGTTGCAATGATAACTAGAAAAGCTGCAGCTGCTTTAGCAGCCGGTTGTACTTGCATTATTAAACCAGCTGAAGACACTCCGTTATCAGCATTAGCATTAGCTGATTTGGCTGATCAAGCTGGTTTTCCTCCTGGTGTTATTAACGTTGTGACATGCGATAGAAATAATGCTCCTGATATAGGTAAATTGATATGTACACATGATTCTGTAGCAGGGATTTCTTTCACAGGAAGTACAGCTGTAGGGAAAATATTGTATAGCCAGTGTTCTACTGGTGTTAAAAGAATTGCTTTAGAGTTAGGAGGAAATGCTCCATTTATTGTTTTCAATTCTGCTAAGTTAGATGAAGCAGTTGAAGGAGCCATGGCATCCAAGTTTAGAAATTGTGGTCAAACATGTGTAAGTGCCAACAGATTTTTGATTCAGGAAGAGGTTGTAGATGAATTCATTTCAAAGCTTTCATCGAAACTAGATTCTTTGACATGTGGGGATGGGTCGAAACCAGGTATTTCAATGGGACCTTTGATAAATGAAATGCAAATAAATAAAGTTAGTAGTTTAGTTGATGATGCCATATCAAAGGGAGCCAAAGTGATTAAAGGAGGAAAAAAATTGACAGAATTGGGTAATTTATTTTATGCTCCCACAATTCTTACCAACATAAAACCTGAAATGAATTGTTATAACGAAGAGATTTTCGGGCCAGTTGTTCAAATCATAAAATTTAAAACAGAAGAAGAAGCTATTGAAATAGCTAACAATACCAAATCAGGTTTGGCTGGATATTTTTACAGTAGCGATTTAAATCAAATATGGAGGGTGTCTAAAAAATTAGAAACTGGAATGATAGGTATTAATGAAGGAATTATAAGTTGTCCTGAAGCAGCTTTCGGAGGAGTCAAAGAATCTGGTATTGGAAGGGAAGGATCTCATTATGGCATTGATGAGTTTGTTTACATAAAATATTTATGTTTTGGTGGGTTAAATTGAATTAAAACATAATTTCATAAATTTTAGAAAACATATTCGAAGGTAAAAATTAATTCATAGGTGTTTTCTTCAGTAACATTTCTAACTACATAAAAATAACTTTTACATTATACCTGAATTCATTTTTTTTTTTTTGCCCTTTGAAATACATTTTACTCAAAACTCTTCTTTCTCTCTTAGAAAAAAGTAAAGGTTAAAGGTTAAAATGACACATAATAATAATATTTAACATGAAAATATATTTTTTAATTTTTAACAACTTTCACAAGGCATTTTTACAACAAAACAAAAAAAAAATTAATTTCATTGTTTGTACATATCACAAGTTTTTATGTTTATCGATTCAAAAATTTATAAAAAATACATAATTAAAAAATAAATTAATAATATTTAACGTATATTTATTTATTTACTGAACAACCATTGCCCGCAACGATTTATTAATTTTTAATAATAATCATTTTTTTTTTTTATTTAAATAATGATGCGTGGCAATAAGGCATCTATATAAATTAATTAAATAATTTAAAATAAAACTAATAAATTAGCAAAAATAAAAATAAATAAATAATACTGATTATTATTATTATGTATTTAATTAATTATAATAC